GGCGGGTCCGGGCTGGGGATTCGAACCTGCCACCTTAGGTGTACGTGGCTGGCGCCTTAGCCGGTTGAGCTATAGGCGCCGAGCCATCTTTCTAAATCTTGCTTAAGGCACTTTCTTATTTCCATTTTACAATCTGGGCAACTGAACTAACCAACCACCATGATGTTTGAAATTGGGGTCTCATTGCTACTTGACTCCCTGAAACTCCAGTCTGCTCTTTGCTAGAATGATCTTGAGTTGATGACAGTAGGTTGGTGAGCCTGGAGGCTCCTCTGTGAACATTCTTCCCCACTTAACCTTCCTTTTCCAAATTTTAACCCTTTTTGTCCTATCATCATCCCTCCCTTTTTAAAAAGCTTGTCCACCCTCTAAGCTGGTGGTGACATTAGGACATTTTAGAAACCTACAAGCAAATGCCAATCTACATTCAATTTAGAAGTGGTAGCTGTACCCTTCATTGGAAGAAGTCTTTGGGGGCAGAGAAAAGTTACCCCATCATTTCATTGCTTCCTAAGTTTCCAGGGACCAACTTGGTCTTTATCAAAGTTTGCTCTGATGCATGTGGTGTGGGGATAGTGGGGGCAGAGGCTCTAGCTCTGTTGAAGCAATATGGTCACATCTGTTTGCTCCCCTATATAGGCTCTGGGGACAATGAGTATTCAGTAAGTTTCAATGGCCTGATCTATTTTTAACTATCTGAAAACAAACTGGTTAGGCCTGATTGCTGCATGTAATTCATTGGCAAACACTTGTGTATATTTACATCAAACTCACGCAGCTCAGATTTTAGATTGGTATTTATCATGACTTTCAGGTTAATATTTTATTGAATGCAGCTGAACTTGAAATTTGGTATTGATGCCACCACTTGGCAGTTTTGGGGTGCTGAGTTACAAGACAAGCCTCAATATGCCAGCCAGTCCTATCAGCCAATACATCAGCTAGATGGTCATACTAGTTATCAATTGCTGTGTAACAAACCACCCCCAAATTAACAGTTTAAAACAGCAAACATTTATTATCCCATAGGTTCTGAGTGTTAGGAATCTAGGAGTGGTTTAGCTAGGTTCTTCTGGCTCAGGGTCTGTCATAAGGTTGCCTAAAGCTGTTAGCTGGGGCTGCACTGATCTCAAAGTTTAAATGGGGCTGAAGAATGCACTTCCAAATTCACTCACCAGTTTGTTGTCAACCAGACAGCGGCAAGTCAAAGCATGAGGGCACTGTGAGGGCACTGACAACAGACGGGTTGCTGGGGGAAGGATGGTCCAAGGAACTTGGAGGCACTGTGAGAGCGCCAACCTGGCAGGACAGGATCTGAGAAATGAGTTGGCACCAAAGACAAACTTTGCTGCTCTGCAACTTTCATTCCAGCTATCATCCCTGGGTCCTGCCTCTGAACCTCCCTTCCTCATGGAGCCTAGGGATGGATGGAACCTAGAGGAGGGCAGCCCTTCCCTTTCTAGTGCTGTCAATATGGCGTCCACTTCTGCTCCTACAGTCAGGACGATGTTGAGGGTGACATCTGTGCCAACCTCTCTCATTCCTCTTCCTCATGACCTCATGAGTGCTCACATGGTCTGATAGTATGGAAATGATTATAAGGATTTTACAGAGGTTGTGTCACTTCTCTAAGACCATATGGCCATAGGTGATGAACGCTGGTGGATTTGACTTCCAAACAAACCTCTGCTCTTGATGAGGAATTCTTTACTTGTTCAAGGCTCTGAAGGGTCCTATACTTTTTTTTTTTTTTTAAGACAGAGCCTCAAGCTGTCACCCTGGGTAGAGTGCCATGGCATCACAGCTCACAGCAACCTCTAATTCCTGGGCTTAAGCAATTCTCTTGCCTCAGCCTCCCAAGTAGCTGGGACTACGGCACCCTCTACAATGCCCAGCTATTTTTTTTTTTTATTGTTGTTGTTGCAGCCATCATTGTTGTTTGGCGGGCCCAGGGTGGATTTGAACCTGCCAGCTTGTGTGTATGTGGCTGGCACCTTAGCCACTTGAGCCACAGGCGCTGAGCCAGGATCCTATACTTGATATTGGGACCAGGACCCCAGTCTCTTACCATATCCTGATTTCTTCTGGTTCCTTTTTTTCCTAAGTCTCTGGATGCTCATACATGGTCACTGTCTAGGACTTCTCTTCCAGAAGGTTGGTGGTAAGAAAATCTGAGGTATCATCAAGAATTTGAAACCAAGGAGAAATAGGAAATAGCCAGAAATGAAATTCCATACTTTAAGGTTTCAGATCAGGCAGGATGGGAGAGACAGGGAATATATTCGATGGTAAATAGATCCCGACTTTTTAAAATAGCAACAAAATAAGTAATATTTATTAAGTGCCTATTATGTGCCAGACCCTGGGCTAAACACACTACTTATATAATCCCATTTAACCCTCACAACAAACCTGCAGGTAGTGACCACTAAAACCTCATCATACATATAATGAAACAGACTCAAGGAGGTGAAGTCATGTTGTCATACAGTGGCAGCTGTGTATGACCCCATAGTCTGACCTCCGAAACACTGTGTTACCCTGCCTTTATGTACCTCCATTGGTTTCCAGATCATTTCAGAGCGCACCAAACCCAGGATGCATGAATTCCAGTCTGAGGTGTTCATGATCATTGGTGGCTGCACGAAGGATGAACGGTTTGTGGCGGAGGTGACCTGCCTGGATCCCCTGAGGCGCAGTCGCCTGGAAGTGGCCAAGCTCCCACTGACAGAGCACGAACTGGAGAGTGAGAATAAGAAGTGGGTGGAGTTCGCATGCGTGACATTAAAAAATGAGGTCTACATCTCAGGTAAGCAGGAGCCACGTGAAGCCAAAGCAAGGCCCATGTAGCACAATTTAGGCTCCCCAGTGAGAGCCAGACAACTGTCCTCTAGAAGAACTGCTGTGAATTGTCAATGACTTGGCTCTGACTGGGTCAGAATATGGAACCAGGAGCTCAGGGATCTTACCTTGGAGAGCACTTTGTGACTTAATAAATACTAAACTGTGACCTGCATAAACTCGCAGGGGGCAGGCAGGCAAGTCCAGTCCTACATGAAAAGGAAGAAGGAAAGTTACACCAGTGTTTTCTCTGTCTGCTATAGGGACAGGGCACAGAGCCAGGCACTAGGAATACAGTAATGAATAAAAGCATCACTCTGTCTCCAAGCCTGACCCCCTGTTCCGTTTATTAGGTCATACTTGGATATATTTCAGCAGTACCTAACACTTTTTCATTGCTAAATTGTCTACTTAATTATTTACCATGACTTTATGCCTCATTAGACCTCAAGTTCAAGGATAATCAATACTACATTCCCAGTACCCAGCACTGTGCCTGACCTCAGATTAAATGCTCCATAAATAGATATTGAGAGAGATAGTCTCCACCATCTTTAGTGTGTGGAAGATGAATTTATGCTTTAAAAACATTTCATGGTTTGCCTCTCACATACACTCTGTAGGGTAGGCATTTATTAGATAGGAGAAAACGGAGGCTCAGAGAAGTTATAGGACATACTCCAGGTCATACACTGGCAAGGCTTCAACCCAGGTTCTCAGTCCAATTCTCGTGCTCTCTCCATCACATGAAAGGCCACCTGCCTCTTCTAGGGACCCTCTGGAGGAGTCAAGCAGGATTAAGTTTCTCTGATCTAAACTTGGTTTGGAGAAAGCTGCTTTCCAGAACTGCTTTTCTCCAAAATCAAGGGCAAGTCAGTCCTTCTTTGGATATATTCATACCACTGATTAGGTTATGACTTTCTTTTATCTTGTAAAAATTTTTTTATTGTTGAAGATTCAAACAATGCAGGACATATAAAGTTAACTATGCCAGTTTCTCTGTGCCACATTTTAATTTTTTACGGAAATTATTTTATATCGTCATAGGGTAAGCAAGTAATGTTAGCTGCTGTAACCCATCCTAAGTCTCAGTGAATTTACACAGTAGTATGCAAAGGTGGTGGGTGGGAGATGGCTCTGCTCTGCTCGGGTGTTCAGGGTCCTAAGCTCCTGCCATCCTATGATGCTGCCATTTTACACATGTGGCCTTTGTTTAGGGAAGAGGGAAACTGAGTTGCTAAAGACCCACCTGCTTATGAAAGCATTGGCTGAAAATGTCATCAATTGTGCTCATCTTCCACTGGCAAAAAAATAGCCACATCACCTCTCTTACCTCTCTTTGTCCCCTACAGGTGTGGGTAGGCTGTGAAGTGTAGTTTAGCTGTGTACCCAGGAGCGAAAAGCAAATTTGGTAATCACAGTCAGCCTTTGCCACATACTCTACACATGATACTCTACAACTTGTCCTTCTCTTTTTTTTCTTGAGACGGAGCCTCAAGCTGTTGCCCTGGTAGAGTGCTGTGGCATCACAGCTCACAGCAACCTCCAACTCCTGGGCTCAAGCGATTCTCTTGCCTCTGCCGCCCAAGTAGCTGGGACACAGGTGCCTGCCACAATGCCTGGCTATTTTTTGGTTGCAGCCATCGTTGTTGTTTGGCAGGCTCAGGCTGGATTTGAACCCACCAGCTCAGGTGTATGTGGCTGGCACCTTAGCCGCTTGAGCCATAGGTGCTGAGCCACCTTCTCTTCTCTTAAATTTGCGTTTCCTTTTTTAATGATACAAGAAGTACATGAAAGCATGATTATTATACATATGCGAATCCATGGAAACTAATGAACGTATGTACTAAGTGATAGGCTACAGGCAAAACACAACATTGTGCCAAGTACATGCTGAGCGTTTACTAATGTCATTAATAATAATGTTGTTATTATTTTTACCAGCTGTAGTGAAGTCTATTGAATAAATGAAACATGATTTTCTTGGGCTTTCTTTTTTTTAATCTCCTTTAAAAAATACTGTAGTAGACATTCTTATATACATATATGTTTAATACTTGTGCTACTGCTATTTGAAAATTTTCCTAGAAAAAAATCCTTACATTTACACTCCTAGATTATTAGTGAGGTTGACCATATTTGTACGTATTTATTAAGTAATTGTATTTATTTTTTAAAAATTATCTGTTCATACTTTTTGACTGTTTTTCTATTAGTGGCTTTTCTTTTTCTTACCAGTCTTTTAAATCTCTTATTATATAGCCTTTGCTATTCAGGTTGCAAATATTTTCTCCTAGGCTGTAGTTGTCTTTTAACTTTGATTTATATGTGTATACAGTGATTTTCTTTCCTACATGAGTCTGAGTTTCACGTCACTCCTCTCCCTACCCCAAGATCATTAACGTTGTCTCTTGTATATTCTCCAGTTACTTTTATAGCAATTACATTTGAATTTTATGTTAAAGGTAATGAGAAATAGGCACCTAACTTAATTTTCCTCCAAAGGAAAAGCCAATTGTTCTAATGACATTTATTTAATGATCTCTATATTTATGTTTCAGTCTGTTTTTATACTCTTAATTGTTTTTGATTGATCCATTTGTCTAATCTTAAGCTAGTATCACACTGCTTTAATTATAATTGCTTTTCAGCATATTTTAATATTTGATAAGAAAAGTCTCCTTCTTCATTCTTCTTTTTCTAAATTTTCTTAGAGATTTTTCCAAATTTACTGTTCCTAGTAAAATTTAGAGTTGTCATGTTCCCTAAAAAAGTCCTGAAGGCACTGACTGTATAGATTAATGTGGGAGGGGTGACATCTTTGCAATCTTGTTATGTCCCATCCACGCATACAACATGATTTCCCAGTGAAATAGGTCTTTTTCACATCCCAAAATAAAATCATAGAGTATATTTTTAAATAAAAATTGCATGCATTTCCTGGAAAATGTGTATTTTCTATTTTTTGACACCACCTACATGGGGTCAATAGCACGGCAATTTGAATAGAGACCTCTAAGGTACACAACTCAAAAGATTTGAACTCAAACTATTTGAACAAAAAATTCACAGAAGCTCAATTTCCCTTGTTCTCCATCAACTGTGGTGGTGGTGGTGGGGGAATCAAAACAAAACACCCATCTAATACCTGCTGTGAGTGAGGGATGAGGACAGGTCAACCAGAACAGCTCTAAAACTCAGGGTACACATCCCTTTGATTTAGAAATCCCGCTGCTGGGGTTTCACCTTAGGGAAACATCCACGACACAGAATGTGCTCAGTAATGGTCACTGCTTCACTGCTATATGTATCTAGGTTTGCAAAAGAAATTTTTCCCTTTAAATAGTTGGTGCTCTGTGACGATAGGAACATGGAAACAATGCTGTTAAAATAGTTGATTTACGTCATGGGAAAAAGGCCAGTTCTCCTGTGTCTTTGCCTCTCTCCCTAACTGCTGAATTATGTATTTTCTACTTATTATGAGAGTTGTCCTGAAAAAAGATATTTACCAGTTCACTCTCAAATGATCTACTATAAGCATCTCATACTTTTATAATAATAATTAATTTAAAAACAGGGCAAGTCCTACTTACGTGTTTATAGAGATCAGAGATAAGAACCAAGAGAATGTTGTAAGAGCTCAGGCTGATTTTTCCAGGTTTGTAACTTTGCTGTTTTGTTTAAATAGCTAAGCAAACAGAACATAAGCTGCCGTCTATAATAATTTGCCTGCCAGATGAGGCCCCACTGTCCCTGCCTGGCCTTACTTCCTGCTTCTTGTGGGCACAAACCTTGTGTCCAAGATCCTTCTGGCTCCCACCCCAGAGACAGATTTGGGTCCTGCCACACAACTCTGGGACACTTGAGACCAGCCAGGAAAGTCTGTATGACCTACCTCAGGAGGGAAGGTGGGGAGAAGAGTAATAGTTAGCAATTAGGACACACTTGCCCTGTGCCAGGTTCAATGCCATGTGCTACTGTGTATCAATTCATTTAACCATCACAAGGACCTGGTGACTGGATGTGTACTGAGGTGAGGAAATTGAGTTTCCCAGAGGCTAAGGGTCTTGGGGGCCACTCAGATAGCAAGTAGCTAAGTCACGGGCAGTCTAGACCCTTGCTCACTTAGCCATCACATCCTGCACTCCAGCCACACTGAGGGGACACAGGACAGCATTCACGGCAGCCTCACTTGTCTCTCCCTCCTCCCTGTGTTCCCTTTGTTCCTCCACTCCCAGGCCGCACACCCCTGAAGGATTTCTTTTGTCTCCCCTTAGGGTGGGGCTTGCCTGGAGACTTTGGGCACGTGAGAAATTATGGGAGAAACTATATTTCTGACACACTGTATGGTTTTTATCTCTTGTAGGCGGCAAAGAAACACAGCATGATGTTTGGAAATATAATTCTTCAATCAATAAATGGATTCAGATTGAGTATTTAAACATAGGCCGCTGGAGGCATAAGATGGTGGTGCTGGGTGGCAAGGTCTATGTGATTGGAGGTTTTGATGGCTTACAGAGGATCAACAACGTGGAGACCTATGACCCCTTCCACAACTGCTGGTCAGAGGTATAGGAGATTATGGTAGAACCTCCATTGTTGGCCTCCTATGTTGTTCCTACATTGACCACCTCCTTAAGTTGACTTAATTTTCATAGACCAGAAATGCATGTACGTATCAGTACAGTAGGCCTGGTTCCTTATGTTAACCTTCTCCATATGTTGACCAATTTGTTACAGTCCCTTTGTTGGTGGTCAACTTTCAGAGGTTCTAGTTATTCCTAGGAGTAACTTTTCTGTATATTACTTCAAAGCTTTAAAAAGAGGTGCACACCTACAGTGGCAGCCTGCTTTCTGATAGCTCTGCTGCTGTGGAGAAAATTTTTGGTGGCTCTGAGCTCCCCTCTTCCTAAAAGCTATCCCTTGAACATTGTTGATCAAGTCACAGGAACAACCTCTTTCCACCTTGCAAAGCTCTATATGGACACCTGTCCTATCCTGGCCAGAACCCCAGATGGGGAGGGGAGGCTCACCCTGCCCTTAGTTGGTAGGTCTCTTGGTTTGCATGTCTTGGCCCAAAGTCTTGTCTCCTTAGACACTTCCTCCCCTATTCTTCTCCACACCAGATACATACATGGGGGTCCCTTTACTACACTGTTTGTGAACCTAGAGTCATTTGGTCAGATGTAGGAGTTAGCCCTTACTTATTTTCCCACTAACGATGAACCATTTACATGCCTGCAGACAAGAGCTAAGCAAGGTGACCTAGGAAAGGAAAAGCAATTTCCTGTATTTCCAGCTTATGCCCAATGTCAAATTTTCTTTCTTCTAATCAGATTTTATGTTAGAGCATGTTCCAGCTTTGCAGAGTATAAAATATGGTCATTGTAGATATAAGCAAAAGTAGCAGGTCAATATGACACCCAGCCAAGACCTGTCAATCTGAAAAGAACTTTACAGGGAGCCCTTAACCTCTATGGGGGATGTACCCCAGATCTCACATCATCCGGTCCCATCACAGAATTATTCCATGACCTGTGGGTGCAACCATGTAATTAGGCAGGAGCCTCCTGGAAGTTCCCTATAGTGTCCTGGAGTTGACAGGGTAGAAGTACAAGTCTGGCTTAAGCTCAGAATGTGTAATGTTGCCCCAACATGGGAGAGACTGCTTACTTGGGGCCCCCTGAACCCTTATATAAGCTTTTCTTCCTGGGTATAAGCATCAAGGACAGTTAATGCTGGTACATAGTGAGCCCTCAGTAAACATCTTTTGAATGAATGAGCATGTGAATAAAAATGAAGAAGGAACTTGCATGTTTGAAAAATCTTTTTCCTTCATCATTGGCTGGCTTTGTCCATATGAATGCTTACTTCTGTTACATTCTTCCTGCTGAGAGAGGCTGGAATGTCCCAACATACAGCCTGCTGGAGCCAGGACCTGGGGTGGGAAATTCCTGCTTTGATTCTGTCTGCATCCTGAGGAGAGTCAGATGGGCCTTCTGACTTTAAGCAAAGACTGGCTTAAGGGCAGACGGCTTTAAAAACTGCTTTAAGGACACACAGGTCTGTGTCCCGGCTCTGGCCTAGGTCCTGTGATAGGGTGACCAGACGTCCCGCTTTTGGCAGGACAGTCCCGCTTTTGAACAATTTGTCCCGCGGCGTTTTAAAAAAGTCCCGATTTTTGGAAAGAATGCACGAACGGGCGGGAGAATACGGAGGGAATGTACGGTTTTTGGCTGCCGTGTGGCTATTTCGCCAGAATATGAGTTTTATATTATTTTTGTTAATTTTATAATGTTCAACTGTAATAATAAATAATTGTTGAGAAGTGATTATTGAGAACTGCTTATCAAAGTGTGCATTGTTGTCAGGCCCTGCCCTGCCGGTCCCCTGTCCTGTCCCCGCCCCCGGCCATGTTGTACCGCTTTACAAATGTTAAAATCTAGTCACCCTATCCTGTGAGCCTCTGCAGCCACCTGGGCAGCCTGACTGACAGCTGCTCCTTGTCTCCCCTGCCTCTGCAGGCCTCACCCCTCCTTGTCCATGTCAGTTCCTTCGCTGCCACCAGCCATAAGAAGAAGCTCTATGTGATTGGGGGAGGGCCCAATGGGAAACTGGCCACCGACAAGACTCAGTGTTATGACCCTGTGACCAACAAGTGGAATTTAAAGTCGGCCATGCCAGTAGAGGCTAAGTGCATCAATGCAGTGAGTTTCCGGGACCGCATCTATGTGGTTGGTGAGTGATGGCTTCTCTATCTGAGTATCTCAGCGCCTGGTCAGCACCAGCTGCAGAATTTAAAGGGTGTTGCAAAGCTGCTCCAGCACTGGCAACTCCCACCCCCCACCCCACCCCCCGCAGGGAACCACCCTGCCTTCTGGGGAGCCATCAAGTTACCCTTTCCCTTGGCAAGATGGTAGACTTGACCTAACCAGAAGCAGAATTTTAGTGGTTAATGGGGAAGAAACCAGGAAAATGGTGGGATGCCCATCGTGCTTCCTCTTTCTCTCCAGGCGGGGCCATGAGGGCGCTGTACGCCTACAGCCCTCTGGAGGACAGCTGGTGCCTGGTGACGCAGCTCAGCCACGAGCGGGCCAGCTGCGGCATCGCGCCCTGCAACAACAAGCTGTACATCACCGGCGGGCGGGACGAGAAGAACGAGGTCATCGCCACGGTGCTGTGCTGGGACCCCGAGGCCCAGAAGCTGACAGAAGAGTGTGTCCTGCCCCGGGGGGTGTCACACCACGGCAGCGTCACCATCAGGAAGTCGTACACTCACATCCGGAGGATTGTGCCAGGAGCCGTGTCTGTCTGACTGTGGGAGGGGGACTTGGAGGCCCTTCAGGGAGACACTTAGCGCTCAGTCCTCACCTCTCACCCTGTCCTGTCCCACTAAAGCCCCAAGCTCAGCTCGCCTTGTGGGCATCTTGGAAGTCTCAGTTTTGGGACACTTGAGGCCATCCAGGAAAGTCTGTGTGACCCTACCTCAGGAGGGGAGGTGGGAAGAAGAGTAATAGTTAGCAATTAGGACACACCTGCCCTATGCCAGGTTCAATGTCAGGCGCTACTGTACATTAATTCATTTAACCTTCATGAGGACCTGGTGACTGGATGTGTACTGAGGCGAGGAAACGGAGTTTCTGCGAGGCTTAGCGTCTTGCCCCAGGCCACTCACACAGCACGTAGTTAAGTCAGGACTCTAACCCCAGGCTTTTCAACTCCAAAGCCAATGCCCTTTCCCTCATGCTGCCTCTCTCACACCAGAAACACAAAAGCAAGAACAAAGCACCTGGCTCATTTCTTCTTGTTCCAGCAAGTCTGTTAAAACATGAACTCAGCAAGGCAGGGAAATAAAAACAGTTTTCTTCCTTTTTTTTCTTTATCATTATTTTTTATTTCTTTTATATTTAAACCAAGAGTCTTTTTGGGCTCCATCTCATAGGTCTTTTCACTTGCCAGGTCTGGGGGGATGGGTTTGGGAGGGGCTGTTTATTTTGAAAGCCATGAAAGATGTGAGTTCTGCTCTCCTCCTGTCGGGAGCCTGTATTGTTTATGATCCCCAAATGGGCCATATTGGACTAGAACTGTCATTGCCAGACAGAATTGTACCTTCAGCACAGTCTGCTGGCCTGGCGTCCTAATGTTCAGGAGTTATATTACAATGTAGAAAGAGGTTTCAAGAGATTCCAACTATTGTTTCATTTTTAAAAAGCAAACATCTTTTTTTCCTTTTCTTTTGACACACAGTCTCACTCTGTTGCCCCAGGCTACAGTGCTGGGGCAGTAGCCTACTCACAGCAACCTCAAACTCCTGATCCTCCTGTCTCAGCCTCCCAGGTAGCTGGGACTACAGGTGCTGGCCACAAAACTCCTGGCTAATTTTTTCTGTTTTTAGTACAGATAGGGTCTTGCTCTTACTCAGGTGGTCTCAAACTCCAGAGCTCAAGTGATCTTTCCACCTTAGCCTCCCAGAGTGGTGAGCTACCACACCTGGCCAAAAAGAAAACTTTTTTTTTTTTTTTTGCAGTTTTTGGCTGGGGCTGGGTTTGAATCCGCCACCTCTGGCATATGGGGCCAGTGCCCCACTCTTTGAGCCACAGGCGCTGCCCCCAAAAGAAAACATTTTAACACTGCTGGTCACTGCAGGAATGATGGACTCTTTGATATTATACTTTCTAGTTTTGAGACAGTGATTTGGACCCACATTCCCAAGATCCCATCCTCCTGAAATCTTAGTTTTTAGGATTTTTGTAAGCCCTTCTGCTTGGTTTTTGGATCAGTGTGGTTCAATTGTGACTCAAAGAACAGAGGCCTTCACTCTAAGAGGTGGAGCTTTCCCATGAGCTCACTGGAAATTCATTCTAATCCCCAAGTTGGAGAAACAGGTTAAGAGATCCTGTTTCATATGCTGTATTTAAAAAGCAACAATGATAACAACATAGTAACTGCATTACCCAATGTACTTTATCCTCATCATATGACTTCAATTCTTTTTATAGAGTTTTATTTCATGTGGCAAACTGTGCTTGTATTTCTTAGTGGTTTGGGAAGTTAAAGGTATCACAGTTGATAGCAAATATAATTTTCATAAAAAGTCATAGTCATAGTTAAATCTGTTCAAAACAGATTTTAAAAAAACTTGGAAAATTCCAAGTGAGATTTCTGTTTATGTCTAAAAATATAAACATATATCCATGTGTGAAAGGCTCTATGCCTTAGGGTCAGGGATGACAGTTCAGCTCCTTGCTGTGAAGAGTAAGATGGGGCAAAATAAACATATTTGTGGAAATTTAGAGCACACTGCTCCTGTGCACTAGTAACCTTAAATAAGTTCTCCACTGAAACAATTTAAGCTAGTTGTATTTAGCAAATATTCGTGGAGTTCTTTATGTTTGTCAAGTCTTGAGGACACCGATGAATGACCAATCTCTATGCTAGAGACAGTCAGTATGGGTAAATGGGCCACCAGTTCAATAGTCCCATTTTTCTTTTCTTCAGTTTGACTGAAAATGAGATGCACATGAAGTTATGAGGCTACATCTGAGTCTTGATTGCCTTTCAAGGAGTCTCCTTGGGAAGCTGTGCACTTAGGTCAATGAGTGACCGTTGCTCACATTTGTCTCCTTAAGATTGCTAGAGTGAACCATTGGTTCACAATTGGAACTGTTTGTGAACTACAGGAAAAAAGCAGTCTTATTTCAAAGACTGTTTTAGGGAGGAAATTTGAAAGAGGAAATCCACTGATAGCATCATTGGCACACACAGTGAGCCTCCCCTCAAAAACAGAGCACCCCTTGTCGGGGGGGGGGGGACGATGGTGCTGTGCTAGGAGCAACAGGAGACTTTGAGCCCTTTGGGGATCAGCCTTATAATGGGAAATGAAGACTTAGGGTCTTTGTGATAAAAACCTGATTGTAAGTACAGGATCCAAGTTTTAAGGCTAGTTCGAAATACCTAAATGAATACAAGGGAAGGACTCTTTGTGAATTTTACACCACCAAATATGTAGGTGAACTGTACCAAAATCTCAGGTACCTGGCATGTAATGGCATGGGCTGGGGAAGAGATCCTCTAGATTAAGATCTAGGGTTCTCAGCTGAAACTGTCAGTCTGTAGCTTTTAGGAAAGAAAAGTTCAAATCATCTGGGGAAACGTTAGAAGTGTAGTCACCAGGGTTTAAGCTTCTAGGCCAGTGATTTTCAACTGGTGTGCTGCAAGAGGATGTTGTGAAAAATTTTAAATATCCTTAATAAAATTATTTTCAAAAGAAGCTCAAAGAACAGTAAATGTAGTCTTTTTTTTTTTTGATCAACATAATTTAAGCGTGCCTCAGAAGTTTAACTATAAATTCAAGTGTACTGTGAGATAAAAAATGGTTGAAAAACACTTGTTTTAGGTACTAGCCAGGTATGGGAGTGCTCAAATCTAATTTCCATTCCAAAATAATGAAACAAGTACAAAGCAAGTTTGCAGCAGGTTTCCTGTTACAACCCATCCATCAAGAGGGGGAAAGCCAAGGCAGGAAGAACCCAGAGATAAAGAACCCCAGGACTCAGGCCGGGCATGGTGGGATGTTCTGGCACAGACTGGATGGTGAGGCAGGTCCTGTGAGTGGGCAGAGGACCCTTGGCTGGGAAGAAGAGGATAGGGCAGGAGAAGGAGGTCAAGTCCTAAGGATACAGTTCTGAAAAATGATATCAGGCCCTAGAGTTTGTAAGCCTGACTCCAGGTCCCCAAAAAAGAATAAGAAAGAATGAGGAATAGGGCAGTTCCAAGACAAGGGAGCAGGAAAGAGTACACTTAGAATAGATGCATGAGTTAGAGTAGGACCAGCAGCTGGGCCAGTTTTCTGTGGGAACTCTGAGCTGGATGTCTGGGTCTCCTACTAGAGAGAATGAGGCCCAGAGTCTTTGATGGAAACTGTAGGTGAGGTTAGAGGAACTCACTTGCCAATGGTGGTTTGAAATAGGAAGCTAAGCTCAGTAAAACACCAACAGATAGATGTTCTCTTCTTAGTTTTCATCCATTCTGGTCTAAATGGCTTCAGCAGACACAAACATAAACAAAAATTCCTTTGAACTCAGCAATGATGCTTTTAGGAAAATACAAATATCATTTTCCTATAGCTGTAAAAGCATAGCTCAGCTACTTGTAAAAGTCTCTGAAGTACTATCGTTAGTTATTTGCTTATCCTGCTTGATTTTTTTTTTTTTTTTTGAGATGGGGCTCTCACTCCATTGCTCTAGCTAAAGTGCTGTGGCATGATCACAGCTTGCTGTAACCTCTAATGCCCACTTCAGCCTCTTGAGTAGCTGGGACTATAGGCACACCCCACCATGCCAGCTAATTTTTCTGTTTTTGTAGAAATAGGGTCTTGATCTTGCCCTGGCTTGTCTTGAACTCCTGGCCTCAAGTAATTCTCCTGCTTTGGCCTCTCAAATAATGGTATTATAGGCATAAGCCACCACACTCAGCCTATTCTATATTATATTGAAAAGTAAAAGTACACAACAGAATTTTTAAAGTGGGTAAACATCACAGAAATTTCTTATATAAGTCCTAATGTGGGGTTGCAAAATTGTTTTCCCCTTAATATCTGGGTGTTGTATGAGGTTCTCAGAATTGGAAGATTTAGCTTTCATTGAAATCCACATATCTCAAATTTAGTACTGAAAAACCCATTCTGACAGGTCATATTTTCCTATTTATAG